TTTAATACAAATTATTACTGTTTCTGCGTAAAACTATATACTTTCTTTATTGAAGCTGGTATTTGTAGGTAGGAAATACTTGGTTTGTACTTGTTGACTGATCTGCCTGAAGCCTTTAACAGAAATTCACTACCTTTTTGTGGAGGCCTGTTTCATCCTGCGGAATGCTAGGTTCCTTTAAGTGAGACAGTTTTATAAGACATTAGTCCAACTAAAACCCCTTGTTAATCATTAAACTCTTACGTATTACCTGGATTCCTGACACTGCAGATTGAGAGCAGAGAGTGTTCGTCCCTCAAATTAAGCCTGTAGACCAATGGAAAAATGTAGCTAGGAGGGATTTTTAAAACTCCACACCTTTTTCTCTTGTATTTAGTGCAGAGAGGAGAGTGTCTGCTGTTTTGGCTGACAGATCTGCACCCTGAACAGTTGGTTCAAACTTGGTTTGGGAGTCCTGGCTGCTTGTTTTAGCATGGCGGAGCTTGGACTTCACAGAATCCTTTTGGTTATTTCCCTGGCAAAGTGTCTGGAGGGTACAAAACTGCTGGCAGACTTTAAAAAATGCGGTGACTTGGAATGTGAAAGTAAGTTTGCTTTTTCTCCCTTCTTCTTCTCTTAAACTGAGGCTCTGAAATGATATAAGAAGTTATTGTGGATACGCGTGATAAAAATGAGTATTAATGTCATTAAGAAATACAGCGTAGCTTGGTATAAAAAAGTGCTGGAAGCAAAACATTTTGTAATAGTATTTACTATAAATATGCAAAGGGCAAAGGTCAGCCTGATACAGAAATATATCAGAAGGTATAATAATATTATTAACCCATACTTCAAAAACATTAATCAGGACTTTCACTATTTTTATAAGATAAATATAATTGATTCCTATGGTAAAAGACATCTAGCCACTTGGTGGTTCTTTATTTATGAAGTCCTTCTACTTTTTAGCCTTTATTATGTAATCAGAACTTTCTGATTTGCATAAGTTTTCTAAAAAAGTTTTTATTTCACATCATTATGATTTATTCCATCTAAACTTTATGAAATGTTACTCATCTCTATGTTTATTATGTAAAAATTCTAAAATCAATGTTAGAATATAATTTTATTATATCACTGAATATAAAATTTCCTTTGTCTACCATGAGGAGAAATTAACTTCCATTCTATTGTTTAAGAACTTAATGGCTTGGTGCCTGTGGCTCAAGTGGCTAAGGTGCCAGCCACATACACCTAAGGTGGCAGGTTTGAATCCAGCCCAGGTCCGCCAAACAAGAATGACGGCTGCAACCAAAAAAAAAAAAAAAA